GCTCAGATTCTCTTCCCTGACCTTCAGCTTTCCCTTTGTGGTTGGACCCACTCACCTTTCACTGAACACAAAAAATGGACTGGAGACAGACCCACCTGGAATAGAAAGGAAGCAGAAACTCCCACGGCTTCAGAGCCCTTCTTTGTAGGGACTAGGCAGGCTCCTTGTCCCAGAGACCTGAGCATATGGCTCTGGCTGGCCCCAAGCGCTGCAGGCATTCCCCGCCTCATCCCCCTCAACACAGGCCCTGAAAGTCTCTGCTGTGTGGACAGCCACTTGGGGCAGGTTCATAAACCATGAAAAATCCCTCTTTCTCTCACCTCCAAGGAGTTTAATCTCTTCTAATCAATTTAGCAGACTCCCTTGGTTATAAACGATAATGATTTGCATTTTGGAGTCTTTTTATCCCTCTTTAAGAAAAAAAAAAAGCCTCTTCGTTGCATTCAGGAAAGCCATACACGCGGGCTATGAATTGCCCTGGCATTTGTCCAGGGGCGGGTACAGCCATCGTCACCTGTGCCTATTCAGTGTGAAGACACAAGGATGCGTGGACGTCCACAGGTGGGCTAGCTGAGAACGTGGCCTGGCCCCTTCCTGCCAGACGGCTGGGCTCTGCCTATTGCTTCCCCAGCCCCTCATTCTCTGTCTGCCGCATCCAGTTTTCCTTCTTGTATTTTTCATAAGCTCGAGGCTCAGAAAGAAGCTCTGTCCTCCTCTCTGGCACGTTTGCCAGGAAACAGATTTCTGGAGTGGGCTGGCTTCGGGGCTTGAGCTGCCTTTGGAGGGGGCTGTCCTGAATATGCCTCAGACCTTTGCTCGTTCCCCTCCTCACCTTGGTCTGCTTCCTGCACCAGCCCCTCAAAATCTATTGGGGTCCTCTTGCCTGTCTCAGACCAACTGGGACCTTCCAAAATCATAAGGGAAGGCCCCCACCAGATCTCTGGGACACTCAGCTTTCCTGAGGGAGTCCAGACCCTGCCCCAGTGCACTGCCACTTTATAGAAACAGAGGCAGGGGCTGTGCCCTCACCAAACACATTCTTTGCCCCTCTCTGGAAACATCTCTGGCCCCCTTCTTAGCTCTATGCCCACCTGGGAGGGAGGCCTTCCTGGACCCCGAGGGGAAGGAGGACAGCCCCATGCCTATGAGAGGGAGAAGAACTTCAGGAGAGGAAGGTTGGGCCCTTCCCAGCCAATGCCATCTTCCTCAGTGTCACTCTGAGCAGGGAAGGAGGAAGGAGCCTATCTCCCAGTACTCAGGGAGCCCCTGCCTCCAGACCTGGCAGCCTGGCCCTGGGTGGGGAGGTCCCCTCAGCTCCCCTCGGCAGCCGCGTGGGCACCATGTTGCCGTGGAGGTGGTCCAGGAAACCCTGGCCAATTGAGAGGAGTTGGAGCTTCTGCAGGAGGCCAAGGGAAGGGGGAAGGAGAAAGGGAAGAAAAGAAGCTTTTGATGCACATCATGTCTGCAGAATTGAGTATGACTAATTAATAGATTTTATTCTTAGTAATCTCTTAAGCATTCCATACATTGGGCCCCACGCCTGAGCTGAGCTTACAAGAGGCCTCATTGGCAAAATGCAAATGATTTGCCAGCCCTGCCATCTTCTCTCCTTCCTTGCCTTTTCTTTCTTTTTTTTTTTTAAGGGGAAATTTAAAGGAAAATTGCTATGTAATAGAAAAGAGATTCCAATCACTACATCTAATTACCTCGAAGGGTAAACCACTTAACCAAAGAAGTGTCATGGGCCCTTTTTTTTGTCCAAACCTGCCTTAAATGCCACAAAATACAGTCATCAACGTTGAGGCCACTGAGGTTGTTCTGGCTGGTTAGAGGCTGCAAGGGTCAGCTTAGCAGTGAACTTTCCCTTAGAAATGTCAGCTTTGCACAGGAGGGAGATTTTAGGCACACCCCAGGTTCATCATCCGAGGCCTGGTGTCCTCACACACATCTAAGGGGAGAGGGGCCGGGTGTCCTGAACAGTTTTCATCTTGGGTGACAGGGCCAGCTGGGAGGAGCTGGGCCAGGAGGGGTCCTGGCTTCAGGCCCCCCTCACTGGCTTGGGGAGCTGTGATGCAGCAGAGATCTGGGGGCTTGGTCTCAGAAAGACCCTGGGAAGGTGTTGGGATGTGAAGGACAGAGTGTCTACCTTCATAGCACCTAGAGCTCCCCAGAGCGGCTGATGGCTCCTGGTGAGTCAGGGCCCAGGCTTTACAGTGAGATGGGCTGCACCCCATTAGTGCAAGAACTGAGACCAGGAGACCAATGTGGTCATCAGGCCTAGCACACCCCTCTAGGAGGTGGGCAGGGCTCTTATGGGCCTGGGACTGATCTATGGAGTGGGGGAGGAACATTCATCATTGAGACTTGGTCTTGGAGAACACGGTGAAGCACGGAGCTGGCTCTCAGTTCTGCTCCACCTTCCCTCCCTAGGTCCTCCACACTCCTACCCTAGCCAAGCTGGATCTTCCCAGGCAGTTCTTATCATCTGTTCTGTGCCACCAGCTGTCCCCAAATGCCTTTCTAGCCACCAAAGGAATAATCTGACTTCCTGCCTGGGGTGAGGAAAGGAGAGGGGGGAATGTAGGTGAGGCAGGGATGGAGCATGCCAGCAGTACCATGCTGCTGTGGATGCCAGGGATTGGGGGGCCTGATTTCCCCAGGACCCTGGCAGCAGGTGCCCTTGAGGGTGGGGGGTCTTATTTCTGAAACAGAGACCTAGTACTTCTGTCCCCTCTAGCCAAAGCTGCACACCTGATGCACCCTCTCCTCTCAGACATCCCAGGGGACCCCTCTGTTCCTTCCTAAGTTGCTAGGAACCACTGTGTCTGCGGGGCTGCAGTCCACAGTGGGGGCAATTTTTATACAGACCTGAAATTAAGGCTTGGGGAATTTTATCTCTTTGACCTCATTGTATGAGAAAATGATTTCAGGCAGAGAAAGGGAAAAAAAGGTCTAGTTTGGAATGAAATGTGTTCGTGCCCCTCGGCAGCTTTCTGGGGCGGGAGAGTTGGGACCCCGTTTGGTGGGACAAGCCCGGGGACTGCCCGGGAGCCTCTCCTTTTTCCACTTCCCTGCAGTATCCTTGACTTACAACCCCACCTCCTCACTGATGGAGCGGCCGGATCCTTTCATGTCCCCACTGCCCAGCCTCCTCTTCTGCCTTTGCTTCTGTCCAACTGGCAGAGGCCTTTTGAAAACGCCACCACCAGGAGCAGGACCCTCTCATCCTCCTGCCCTCAGACCAGCAGCTCCTCTTTGATGGTGCTTTTTCCTCATGCAGGATGAGCGGTGTGTTGACAGACAGTGACCCAAGCTCCCCGAGTACTAGGACACAGGCACCGTCTGAACCCCAGGCTCCGTCCGCTCTTCTCCCCTTTCTAGATTCGCTGTCATTATTTCATCATCGTTTTAATCTCATGGCTCACCACACTGCACTGTCAGTTGATAAATGACAGCGACATTGATTCCAGAGGGAGGAAATAAAATCTTAACTCTTCTGAGGGCCTGTGGTCAGTACCCTACTGGAGCTGGCATTTTTAGAAAGCGATCTGGTCCCTTTCTCTCTTAAATGCAGGGTCCCAGGAGTAGGGACAGGGAGGGGTTGCTGTTACCCAGGGCTTTTCTGAGGATTTTTGTGTCTTTTGGGGAGCTTTGTTTGAGCAGCCATGGAAACCAATAGGTTTAATCAGCTGATATTTTAAAAAAATCTTTCCTGCACTAATTACAGGTCCCAGGAGGCAGCACATAGCATATAGTAAGTGTTTAGAAAGTAGCTGGTAAGGTGATTGCATCTGTGTGTTTTGGGGTGAGGACATGGGGATGCAGGCAGTTGAAGAAATCTTTTCTGGCCAAGCTGAGATAGGACGGAACTTGCCCTATCTCACCCCTTGCTCTGCCCCTCCCTAAGCCACGGGTCTGGGACCCACATGCCTCAGCCTTTAGGAGCAGCAGTATCCCCCCACCCTGCCGCCCCAGGAGACAGTCTCCACCCTCCACCTCGCTGCTGTCCCCAGCACCTTGTCTACTTACGCAGTGATTTCTAGGAGAAAGCAACATTTTCGCAATTCTATTGTCTCAGGAAATGGAAAAACTGACCCAAGAAGTATGGTAGGGACTGTATATCGGCTCTGTCTACTCATCTGTACTTGGAGACACCACACAGATAGACAGGCAGCCAGATGCACCTCCAGGTGGCAGGAAAAGTGACAGCTTCCATCAGAGCTCCTATGGAGTGTGGTACGTAGAGCTGAAGAGGGTTTCAGCATAGGGGAGAAAAGAGTCTGTATTTTTTAAAAAATTGATTATATTATTGTTTAAAGAATGCAGTGAAAGATGCCATATTTCTGCAAATCTGTAAGGAAAATGGTATGGAATAGACCAAGGAAGAAATTTCAGAACAGTATCTCCATAGCAAAAGGTCTCTTCTTCCCTCTCTCATTGTGAGGAGCCTGAAACCTTCCATTACGGCGCCAGCGAGCAGCCGGCAGAGGGAGAGCCACGCAGGGGCGTCGCTGCTTCACCTGTCGGCTGCTTCTCCCTGGCGGTTCCTTTGTGACGGTCCTGAACAGAGCGTGAGGTGTACACAGACGTTGTTACAGGTAGTATCTTTCCAGTTTAGGAAAAAAAAAACCCAACCCTTCCTGTGATATTATTTTTAGTCCTTCCCTCCCCAACCAGCATAAATTATGTCTTCAACAGCGTTGAATCCCCCTCCTGCCTTCTATTCTTTTTTTTTTTTTCAGAGACAGAGTCTCACTTTGTCGCTCTTGGTAGAGTGCCATGGTCACAGCTCACAGCAACCTCCAGCTCTTGGGTGTAGTCGATTCTCTTGCCTGATTAGCTGGGACTACAGGCGCCTGCCACAACACCCAGCTATTTTTTTGTTGCAGTTTGGCTGGGGCCAGGTTTGAATCCATCACCCTCGGTATATGGGGCCGGCGCCCTACTCACTGAGCTACATGGCACCACCCTCTGCCTTCTATTAAAAAAAAAAAAAAAGAATTTTTACCGTCGTGTTCTATAAAATTGTCAGCCCTCCCCAAATTTTGCTTTCTGCTGGGAAGGTCATTGGTAGAATTTCTTTTCCTTGCTCTCTGGGGTTGCAGCAGGCTGGGCAAAGCCACGTGGCTGCACTAGCACAGCCGGGGACTGAGGCGGGGGCTGGGGTGGGCCCAGCGGCATCACGTGTAGGAGTAGTCTATGTCAGGAATGCCGGCGTCCCGATAGCCCCGCGTGGTGCCATAGCCGATGGTGTGCGTGCCCTTGCAGAGGCTGCTGCCGTTGGAGGGGAAGATGGTGTGGACTACGTACTCCTCTTTGGCGCGGTACGGGTTGATGGGCAGCATCTGCAGCCCAGGGCCACGGATTTCCAGGATGGAGTTATCCTTCTTGGTCCCCGATTCCATATAGTCATCCTTTTTCCTGCTGCCCCGGTGGTAGGCCCTCTCCTGGGTCAGCAGCTCGCCGGCCTGGTGCACGTACCAGCAGATGGCCCCCAGGACCAGGAAGAGGAAGACGAGAGCCACGGCGCCACCAATGATGCCCGCCAGGGGCAGGCCCACCATGGGGCTGGCATTCTGCTCCTGGTTGAGTGTGGTGGTGGGGCCATAGCTGTCAGCCGTCTCTGCCTTGGCGCACACAGGTGTCTCATCCGCCACATAGGTGTTGCCAGTCTCCATGGTGACCATGCAGATGACATAGGTGGACTTGGGCTCCAGAGCTGTCAGCAGGTACTCTGTCTTATCCCCCTGCACCAGGGTCTCTGTGATGGAGCCCACAGCTGGGCTGTGGCCCAGGCGCAGCCAGCTGAGGCGGAAGGAGGAAGCAGGGAGTGAGGCCTTCCACGTGATGCGGATGGAGTCTGCTGTCAGGGGTTTCACGTGGATGACCAGGGTCTTGGCGCTGTCACCTGTGGCCATGGGGTAGTCAATGTTGGAGTCGGGGAGGCGCAGCCCTGGCCTCTTGGCTTTGAGGGTGAACAGCGAGCCCTGGGGTGTGGTGGCAGAGGCATGGTTGCTGGCTGTGGTCTTGGCGGCTGCGTTGGCCGCACCACCCTGCGACCCAGTCTCAAAGCATTCATCCATCTCGCTGGTGATGTCCTTGATGGCCATGCCCCGGACCTTTTCAGGACCCTGGCACATGAGGCCACGCACATTGACCACAGCTGCCCTTGCTTTCACCCAGTCCCGCAGCCACATGAGGTTACAGCCGCAGAACCAGGGGTTATTTCTGAGTAGCAGCTGGGCCAGGTTCCCCAGGTCATCAAACAGACCGCGGGGCAAAGTGGTCAGGTTGTTGTTGGACAGGTCCAGCCGCTCCAGCTCACGCATCTTGGCCAGAGTGTTATAGGGGATGTGGCTAATGGCATTGTCCTGCAGGTAGAGCTTCTGCAGGTGGGCACTGGGCAGGTTGAGGGGTGGGGCGGCCAGCGAGTTGCGCACCAAGGAGAGCTCTGTGAGGTTCTGCAGGCGGCTGAAGGTGTCATCCGCGATGCGCTGGTTGGCCAGCAGGTTGCCGTCCAGCACCAGGCGCCGCAGGCTATTGAGGCCCTTGAAGGCGTGAAGCGGGATGGTGGAGATACGGTTGTCGTCCAGCCGCAGCTCCTCCAGCGTGTGGGGCAGCCCTGAGGGGATGCTGCTCAGGTGGTTCCGGCTCAGGAAGAGCAGCTTGAGCTGCTTGCTGTCAGCGAAGGCGTCCTCCTCGATGCTGACGGTGGACACAGAGTTGTCATCCAGGTGCAGCTTCTCCAGCAGTGGGATGCGGGCCAGCGAGTCCCTAGCGATGGTGCGCACGTTGTTGTCCTGCAGGTGCAGCTCCCGCAGGGAACGGGGCAGGTTGATGGGGAATTCGTCCAGGTCGTTCTCATACAGGTAGATGACCTGCACATTAACCTTGGTCTTGAGGTCCTGGGGGATGCCAGCATTGTTGATCTGGTTGTTCTGCAGGTAGAGCGTGGTGGCATCATCAGGGATGTCGGCGGGGATGGAGGTGAGCCCCCGGTCATTGCAGTAGATGAAGCCGTTGTCACAGCGGCACACAGAGGGGCAGGTCGTGCTGTCGATGACCTCTGTCAGGAAGGCGATGAGCCCGTAGCAAAGGAACAGCCAGTCTCGCAGGTCCATGCTGGCTGTAGTCATCATGATGGTGGTTGTGACAGTGGTAGTAGGCGTGGTGGTGGCGGTGGGGTGTGCCACCACCATGGTGGATAGATGGGGGAGCTGATCCCACCTGACCTGGAACCTCAACACCTGCAAGGAGCATAAGACAGGTGCAGTGAGAATGGATGGTCACAGTGGCCTGAGGAGCCGAGTTTGTGTCCACCAGCCTGCCACCTTGGGGTCACCGACCACAGTTGGGTCCTGCAGGTCGAGGTCAAGCTGTGATGAATGGCTTTTTTCTTGCCAAGTTTAAACCAGAGGTAATTGCTTGGGCTAAGGTCTGACTCTAGCAACATTAAACCTCATCAGGATCCAAGACGCTGCCTGTTAATGAGACAGATGCCTCCTCCACCTGCCTGGAATATAGCCGGGGCCACAGGGGGGTTAATTTAGTGAGAGCCACACTGCAGTTCGGGTTATTTCTCTCAAAATCTCACACTAAGCCAGTCTTTATAGCCATTGCTAACGGTACCGGTCAATGCTGATGGGATGGATTTAGGGCGTGTTTTATGGATTTGCAGCCACGTTTCCCTATCTGGCTAAGACTCCAGTTTTGAAGGGAAAGCTTGTTTCTGGGAGGCCTGTGAGCTCGAAAGGGGGGGCGACGTCAAAGCCAGCACGAAAGAAGCTGCCAGCACCCTCACTGGTGAGCAGTGGAGAGCATGGAGCTTCATTGTCTGGTGTTAAAACAACACATCCTGTTCATCACTCGTACATTTTCCAGACAGAAGAATAAGGTGTCAACAGAATCACTTTCTTGTGTATTTACAGAAACATCTTTCTATTAGAGGAGGTCTGTGTTCTATAGGAAATTGTCCCACACCTTGCCCCCTTCTCAAATCATAAACTTTCAGCTATCATAGAGGGGAAAAGTACTATCTGTTTTCTTGCATCTATAGAAATGAGACAAATAAAAGGCAGGAGGTGTTTGTGCACTGAGGGAATTGTCTGCAAGGTGTAATTTTGGTTTTTGCAAATGGAAAAATTGCAGCATAGATTTTTTTTCTTATATTATTTTACCATTCATAGTGGCAAAAAATCAATTAAAGAGAAATTATCTTTCAACCTCAGTGGGGAAGGTGTCTTCATACAGCAGCCAGAGGTCTGCTCTAAACCCTGGATTCACAAAGGCTTTTCAATGGCAGGGCACAGTGGCCTTTCAGAGCCTGAGCCCCGGCCCTGGTGTGTGGAGCAGAACCAGCACCTGCTCAGTGGGCCATCAGGGACCTCACTCCCACACCCCAGGGACCGAGCATCTCTGTTTCCCAACCGGGCCAAATCTTCTCTCTTCTCTGTCCCTCTCTATTCATGGGCCATTCCTTTCCATGGAGCAAACTGCCCTCCTTTAGAACCTCGCTCAAATGTCATGAGTCTTCCCGAGAGCTTCCCTCTGCTCTGTCCATCCACGCAGCCATGCATCTGTCTGTCCGTCCACCCACCCAGCAGCTCTTTACTGAGCATCTACTATGTACTTCTGGCCAGCACAGGCCAGCATCTGTGGGCTGGTCAGTGGTATAGTGATTAAACAGTGAGGTAAGGGGCTGTGGCCTTTGGGGACCTGGGCGGCTTGGCATCAAAGACCACCCAAAGACAGACTGGTCAGCCTCAGTGAAGGTCTCTGCTGTCACCCATGCATGCTCACACTCCTTTGCACTTGGGAGGCTTTCCCTTGGTCAGTCCAGTGGTCCTAAGGCCTTCTAGAGCTCTGGCGTCCATGGTGATGTGCTTACCCCACTCAGGGCTTACTGCCAGCATAAAGCTCTGTCCATGTCTTGGCTGGTCAGGGGCCACCCAAGGATACCCCAGCAGGGTGCATGTGAGACTGAGGGGGAAAGCGTGTGGGTCTGCCCACAGAGCAAGAGGAAAGAAAGTAAGGGGTAGGGGAGCCGGGAGAAGGAGGCGCTGGTGAGGTAGTTCCCAGCATCAAATTGGACCCCTCACTGCAGTGATGACTGGCCTGGGAGCCGAGGATGCTGGCCTGTGTATTCCTGACTGCTTGTTTCCTGACAGCTCCGCCCTGCTCAGGCTGGGGTTTGACACCACTCATCCCAATCCCGGAGCCCTTCTGGATGTGGGATTGGACTTTGCTCCCTGTGCCTCAAGCTCCCAGCAACCTCCCTCCCATTCAGCTGTGGTCTTCATTTCCTGCCCCCTTCCACCTCTGCACCTTGCTCTCCAGCCCACCTCCTCTCGAAGTCCCCTGGTGAGACTCTCAGGTCACTCCCCTGCCCACCGGTGCTGCCCCACCCTTGCAGTGCTGATCTCTCCACCGGAAACACTCATGCCCAGATGCACCTCACCCTCCTGGCCACCCCATCAGAAATTACAACCCTCAGAAAATACCTCTCTGCTGCTCCTGCTTACCTATAGTATTTGTCATCAGCTAACATGCTATATATTTTACTTTCTTTGTTTTTACTGTCTGTATCCCTGCTGGAAGGTAAGCTCTGCGAGGGCAGTGGTTTTCGTGTGTGTCTTGTTCATAGGTATATCCCTTGGGGCCCGGTCTAGTGGTTGATATATAGCAGATGCTTGCCAGATATTTCAAAGGAGAAATTGTATTGACCTATTCTGTGGATGAGGAAACTGAGGCATGGAGAGACTTGCCTGAGGTTCCCTGGCAGGAGGTGGTGGAGTCTGAATTTGACCCCAGGGCTTTCTGGCTGCAGGACCTCAGTGCCGGACCATATGCTGCTAAGGACTATGAGTCCCCAGCCCACCTGGACCTGACTGAGGCCTGGGCTGAGGGTTCTCAGAATTTGCTGAGGTGCCCACTATTCCGTGAGTCTCCTGCCTATTTTGTATGGGGCTGTAAGCAGAATGAGGGCCTTCTGTGGACAGGGATAAACCCAAGCCCTGGTATGAGCCCCCCGGCTGGACCTTGCCCACTGTCCTCTACAGGCAGCATGCAGAGGCCCATGGTGTGAACCTGTGGCTGCTGTCACACACATACACAGGTCCTCAGCCCCCACTTTACAGCTGAGATCCTGCTGTGAGGGCCTTGCCCAGGGTCATAGCCAGCCCAGGTTTCCGGCTGCACATCTATCCCCCCCCCCTTTTTTTTTTTTGTAGAGACAGAGTCTCACTTTATCACCCTCAGTAGAGTGCCATGGCGTCACACAGCTCACAGCAACCTCCAACTCCTGGGTTTAGGCGATTCTCTTGCCTCAGCCTCCCAAGTAGCTGCCCAGCTATTTTTGTTGCTGTTGTTGCAGTTTGGCCAGGGTAGGGTTTGAACCCGCCACCTCGGTATATGGGGCCGTTGCCTTACTCACTGAGCCACAGGCACTGCTCTCTATCCCTTTTTCTGCACAGAACCAGGACCATGAAGGTTGTAGAACCTGAAAGCCTTGTCTTAAACTGCTTATAAGCAGAAAGGCAGGGTGGGTGCTAGAGATAGGAGGCACAGTCCTATCCAAAGGCCACATTGCCTTAAGCTCTGGGGTCCAGTCCGAGCCCAGGAGCACCTCTGCCCAGGGCCCAGCATCTGGCCAGAGGACATACACCCTTGCTGGTCTGTTGGCTGCTCAGACCTGGCACAAGGGATACAGGCAGCCTCTACACTCAGCCGTTCCGGGGCAGTGCCCTGAGCATGGGGCAGACTTGTTAAAGCTGAAGCCAAGGCCATGGCCAGCCACTGCATTCTCTGGCATGGACATCTGTTCCCAGCACCCGCTCAGCTCACGGCCACAGTCTTTAGCCTCCAGAGCCCCCTAGCATCATAATAGAGTCTAAATTGCACCTTTCAGAGATGCTTGATGGATAACCAAGAAGCATTTGGGAGGCAGGGACCCAAGGCCTTTCCTGTAGGCCTCATCCATCTTAGCCAGAGGGCCCCGGCCACCCCCTTCCCCATGGCCAGCCTAAGGAAAGCAGGGCAAGACCTGAGGTAGGGAGGAAGACAGCCTGCCTCACTGGAGGAGCCCTTTAATTGCCTGGGTGCCTGGCTGCTTTTTTATTCCCTTGTTGCATGTATGATAGTTTATGTGGCCATCAAATTAAACCTGGTAAATTGCCCATCTTTTACGGGATTGTTTGTTGTCGTTGCACGGATCCCTCAGACTCCAGCATGGTGTGACTTATGACTGCCAGCTCCATGACTGACAGCAGGATCCTAGGCTGGCCATTGTGGCGGGGCAGGGGAGCAGTGGGATGGCTCAGTGGTATCCAGGGCCACACTTAGTCAAGGGCATCTGGAGCATCATTCTTGGCATTCACTCCATTAGTGGCTGGCTACTGCCACCTTCTAGAACAGAGGACCCTGGGTTCGAGTCCTGCCTCTGCCACTTCCTGGCTGTGTGATTTTATTTTATCTTTGAGACAGAGCCTCAAGCCATCACCCTGGGTAGAGTGCCATGGCATTACAGCTCACAGCAACCTCCAACTCCTGGGCTCAAGTGATTCTCCTGCCTCTGCCTCCCAAGTAACTGGGACTACAGGCGCCCGCCACAATGCCTGGCTATTTCTTGGTTGCAGCCATCATTATTGTTTGGTGGGGCTGGCCTGGCTTTGAACTCACCAGCTCAGGTGTATGTGGCTGGTGCCTTAGCTGCTTGAGCCACAGGCGCTGAGCCAGGCTGTGTGATTTTAAACAAGTAGCTTGCCTTTTCTGAACTTTTGTTTCCTCATCATAATAGTTACCCTTATATGAGAATTTTACAATTGAGGATTCAATGTGCAAAGTATCCCCTCCTGAGTGCAGTCAAGTTTAAAAGATGTTCTAATACTCTGCCCCAGGCACACAGGCCTCTGCTCTCCAGGACCCCTTCCTCACTCCCTTGCTGCTGCTGTGCCTCCTGGGTAGACTGCCTTATCAGCCTCCATGATATTGAGATTTCCTCCTACCCCCAGAGACTGTGCAGGCTCAGCCCCACCTCAGCCCCCAAGCTATGATAGCACCACAGTCTCTAGCTTTGGGACATCAACACCAGCCCCCGCCTTTCCTTCATGGTCCTAGGGAGGCCATGGGGCCCCCTGCCCCCAACCCTGTGTGCCCCAAGTTCCCGAAGCCACTGCACCGCCTGAGCTGCCTCTGCGCCTCTGCAGCTGTTCCTGCTCCCAACACCATTGTCACCAGCGCGCTGTCC